CTGTCAACAAGACATTTCACCTTTAAAAAGTTTTATTCAAGCATTACTGAAGACTAAATCAGAAAATTGGTGTTCAAGAATCAAAACCTTCCAGACAGTCCCAAAGCCCCCTGACCCAATCTGTTCGATCTCCTCGAAGTCGACGGCATAGCGACTCGACAGAGCCCCGCACTTCTCCATAGAAATCCTAGATACAAACGAGCTCGCAGAGTAGCTTCATTTAAAGATGAACACCCAAAAATTCAGCGACGCTAAATGTTTAGTCCAAAACATACCTCGAATCCACATTTGGATCCGAGAGAAAACAATTCTTCAGCACTCCGGAAACTACACCGGCAAATTTTCTGCGGACAGACAGGAACTCGTCCGAAAGAACGATACCAGGCACAATATTCATCTTCATTAGCATCAAGCTAAGTTCTATAAAAGAAATTACACTAAATAAATTTAGAACTTCTAGAACGCGTACCATTTTTCACGAACTCCCGTCTGTTGTTTGGCACCGACTCACAAAAAACATCAAGAAATGCTGCGAAAAGCACTCGCAACACTTGATTTTGCATAACAGCATCCCTCTCGCTGACATGAGCAGCAACAAGTGCATCGCCGCCTTCCGCATCATCTGTAACGACATCTTGAAAAAGATTAGCCTGCAGGGTCGCTTTTTAAAGCTTTAGGTGATATTGCTCGATAAATTTTCTCCTCTCGTTGGGTGAAGTTATTCATAGAAATAGTTGCAGAACTTCTGCCAATGCCTTTGTCAGCTCTCATTGAAGGATTTACTCGTGCAATCCACATTAAAGTGCGGTTAAAGCAGTGTCCAAGTCCAGGTAACTTAAATTGCAGAAAAAATACCTATAGTAAACTTCTGTGGCGGTCTAGCTAGATATGCATCAGCATCGGAGATCCACATTTGAGAAGCTACATCTTTAATTAGATTGCTATCGATAAGCGTATTATTCTACAATATACATAGGGGCCAGATCCAACTCAATACAGAATGTTTATAAATAATAACCATTTATTGCTAGCGAAGCTATTTATAAAACAATAACAAATCAATTATAGAATTCTGACAAAAACTATATCAAACAAAATTAAAAGTCGCATGATCCGTCTTTCCAACCATCCCTCCACCTCTCGAAGACTTTCGAGCAGTCGAACTCTTCCTTCCCAATTTTCTTATTGACCTACAATTTCATCAATGAAAGC